CGCCCTCCGCGGGTGTGCCTGGGAAACGGAGTTCCTGGGAAACAAACGGAGTTCCTGGGAAATGGAGTTCCTGGGAAACAAACGGAGTTCCTGGGAAATGGAGCTCCTGGGAAATGGAGTCCGCTCCGCCCCGCCCGGCACCGCCCCGGGCCGGCCCCGGCAGCGCCTGCAGGGGAGCGGCGGAGCGGGGAAATGAGCTCTGCCGCAGGACAAACCATGGGCACGGGGAACAACGGGTGCATTACAGCTCACGTGTGTCCGTTCTGGGACACAGCTACTTAGTGACAAAAGCCAAAATGCGAAGGGAATCGTTGCCTTTGAGCTGTCCCAGGACACCGCAGTCCTCCCTGTTCTATCCCCTACTGCTTTCACAGTTGCCTGGTTGCTTTGTCACTCTTTATATTTCCTGTCCAGTTTCTCCTCATTGAACTTTATCCCTCCTCTCTTATCCCAGCACTGTCACATGGCCCTTAGACCTATCTCCTCTCCAGATGCAATTCTCTGTTCCAGCTCCTTTTGCCTTGCACACAGCTCTCCACCAGCTCCTGCTGTGGTTGTTTACCTCATTTCTCATTTATCTTTCAGAGATCAGATCCTCCTTCCTCACAGTCTGACTGTGACAACTCTTCACACCCATACCTGTGTGACACTGAGCAGAGCCCAGTGCCCCAGGAATAGCCTGGGACACCTGGGACACCAGCCCAGGCCAGGAAAGATTCCTGAGACTGCATTCCTCAGTCTGCAGAGTCAGAAATAATCCTGCAATGAACAGAAAGTGACCAACAAGGGAGTGACACCAGATCTTGTGGCCCTGCTGAGACACTGGCGAGGGACAGGTCCGAGTGCAGGCAGGAGGGCAGGAGGAGGTGAACATTCTCCTTTCAGCTTCAGCATTCACAACAGGCAGAGGCTGGGAAACTGGGAAGGAAGGAAAGAAGGGATTTATGAAGTCATTGAATCACAGAAGGGTTTGGGTGGGACGAGACCTTAAAGCCCATACAATTCCATGCCCTTGTCATGGGCAGGGACACCTTGCACCAGCCCAGGTTGCTCCAAGCCCCATCCAACCTGGCCTTGGACCCTTCCAGGGATGGAGCAGCCACGGCTGCTCGGGGCAACCTGTGCCAGGACCTCCCCACCCTCACAGGGAAGGATTTCTTCCCAATATCCCATCCCTGTCCTCTAGCAGTGGGAAGCCATTCCCCCTTGTCCTGGCACTTCATTTTTAAATATTTGGGTTTATTGAGCTTTCATTTGCCTCAGTTGCAAGTGTCTGTAACAGAGATATCCTGCTGTGTCTGTCACAGCAATCCTGTAATAAAGCAATCCTGCCACATGGAACATGGACTTGTGATTTCATACTAATTATTATTTCTGGGGCAGTACCTGGGGGGATGCACCACCTGGTGTTGTGCCCTGTCAGAAATCATCTAGGGAGTCAGGAAATACAGGTGTGGTGGCAGGTGGTGTGAGAGAGACAATGAATTGGACATTGGGAATTAGAAAGGTGAAATTTAAATTTTCAAGCCCGCTCTAAGCATTTGTACAAGTGTAGGACTTGCAAGGGTAGGATGGTCCCAGCTCTGTTTCCTATAAATGCAGAGGCAGTACAATGGAGCAAACCTGTGATGCTTTGAGGATGGTTCACTGATCTACCTAAGCCTCAGCAGAAGTGCAAGATCACAGCAGGGACAAAGACAAGAATTACAGTTCTGCAAAAGGCTCAGGGGTTTGACACAAAATGTGTCTCGAGGGGGACCAGGCCCAGCCGCTCTCCATTGTCCATCATCTGGCCTGGCTGCCCAGAGAGCTCCCAGATGACTGGAGGTGCCAATGTGATGCCTATCCACAAGCACGGGCAGAAGGAGGATCCAGGGAACTCCGGGCCTGCCAGCCTGACCTTGCTGAGTGGGAAGGCCACGGAACAGATCGTGCTCAGTGTCACTGCACAGCACGTGCAGAACAACCGGAGCATCAGGCCCAGCCAGGCTGGGGTTGTGACAGACAGGTCCTGCCTGACCGACCTGATCTCCCCCTGTGACAGTGTCACCTCCTCAGTGGCTGAGGGAAAGGCTGTGATGTGTCTGCCTGGACTCAAGTGAAGCTTTGACACTGTTTCCCACAACATTCTCCTGGAGAACCTGGCTGCTCCTGGCCTGGACAAGGGCACTGCTCGCTGGCTCACGGCTGGGCCCAGGGAGTGGTGGGGAATGGGCCACGTCCAGCTGGGGCTGGGCACCACTGGGATTCCCTGGGCTCAGTACTGGGGCCAGTCCTGTTTCATGTCTATATCCACGCTCTGGACAAGGGGAGTGAGAGCACCTCAGCCAGTTCTCAGGGGACACCAGGCTGGGTGGGAATATGGATCTTCTGGAGGGCAGGAACCTCTGCAGAAGGCTCTGGAAAGGCTGGATGACCCCTCCCCAGCACACATTCCAGCCCCTCAATGTCCTTCTTAGTTATGATGGCCGCAGAACTGACTCAGGGTTTGACTAAACAGTGCCCAGCACAGGCCTGGCCAGGGCCTGTGGCCACACTCTGGCTGATAGCAGCCATTGGCCTCTTGCCCACCGGGGCTCCTCTTCAGCCAGTGTCACCAGCACCCCCAGCTCCTCTTCCAGCTTTCCAGCTGCTCTGCCCTAAGCCCAGGTCACTGCAGGGGACTGTGGTGACACTTGGGCAGAACCCGGCCTCACTGAACCTCAAACCGTAGGCCTCGGCCCATCAATCTGGCCTGGTCCTGTTTAGACTCTGCAGAGTGTAAACCACAGTTAATCAATAACTGTGGAGAGCTTCAAGGGATTCTGCTGCTGAGCTGAGCCTGGGGACACCAGGAGCTCCCGGGGAGCCTCAGGTCCTGCCCCAGCCCCTCCTGGGCTCTGTCCCCTCTGTCTCTCCCTCCTGGGCCCTGCAGTGGGACGTTCGCTCGCCGTGCTGTGTTGGGTGTGACTGAGCTGGATCTCCTGTTCCCCGGCAGCCCTCCCAGTGCCAGGGTCACAGCAGGACCTGGGCAGGTGCCAGTGACACCCCTGAGCTCTGGTGCTGCCCAGCAGGGCTGGCACCACACCAGCCCTGGCTCCCCAGCACCCTCCGTCTGTGGGGCCTCGGGAGGGGACACAGCCAGGACATATCCCAAGCCACATCACCTTGGCTCAGATATAAAAGTTCAGGAAAGGAGGAGGAAGGGGGGAAATTTGTTATTTACAATGTTTGCCTTCTGAAGAAATGTCTCCAAGTGCTGGAGTCCTGCTTTCTGGGAAGTGCCCGGACTTCACCTGCTCATGGGAAGTAGAGAATAAAATCTCATCTTTTTCCCTTTGCTTACGGAACCTTTTCTTTTTCCTTGTGTTTTTGTTGAATTATTTCAACCCTCCACACCTGGGTGGGGGCTGAGAGGATTTTTCAGGGGGTTCCTGCCTGTCCCTGGGGTTGGAGAGGATGGTGTCTTCTTCAGCTCCTCTGGGGGGACAGTGAAATTGCCCGGGAGCAGGGAGTGTCTGGATTAAAGCCCAGCCATCCCAGCTATAAAAAGCTGGAGGAACCCCCTGTCTCCTGTCCAGGAGCACAGGGAGGGACTGAGGGCAGCACCCAGAGCCCACACCCATGGCAGGGCACAGGCAACGCTTTGGGTCGGGGTGCCGGGAGTGACGCCGCAGAGCTGCGGGGACAGGGACAGGGTGCTCCACGTGGGGGGACAGCGGCCCCTGGGACCAGGCCGGGGTCAGGGCAGTGCTGGGACACGGCCGGGGGCTCCTGGCTGGAGATGGCCCCTCTCCGCAGGCCGTCCCCTCTCCCCATTCCCACCTCCTCAGCCCCTGACAGAGGAACAGGCCACATCCCCCCAGAGTCCCTGCGGTGCCCAGGGGGTCCCTGGGGAGTCTGGCCACCATGGAGCTCCTGTCACCGCTGCTGGTGCTGCTGGCTGGGAGCCTGGCCACCAGCATCCACCTGCACTGGTGGGAACGTGGCGGTACCACCAAGGAGATTGCACTGAACATGGCCCCCAACTCCTTCGATGACCAGTACCTGCGCTGCCACTTCAAAATGCTGAGGGCGCTGCCGGCACTCAACCGCACCGAGTTCGTTCCCTACGGCGACTACGCTGAGGCCTGGAACAGGGCCGTGGCCACATGGGCCAGCCGGCCCCACACGGAGTCCCCGCTGCGGCCGGAGCAGGCCATCGCCCTCCTGGCCTACACCATGGAGGAGGGCCTGTACCTGGAGTTCAACAAGGCCGTGCGCACGGCCGGGCGCTCCCGACGGGAGTACCTGGACACCTTCCACTTCAAGGTGCTGCATTACCTGCTGACCGAGGCCCTGAGCGACCTGCGGGGTGCCCAGAGCCACCCCCGCTGCCTGCACGTGTACCGGGGCGTCGACGGCATCCGCTTCACCTCCGGGCTCGGCCAGATCGTCCGCTTCGGCCAGTTCGCCTCCACCTCCCTGCTGCAGAACGTCAGCGAGTCCTACGGCATCACAACCACCTTCGAGGTGGACACCTGCCACGGTGCTGACATCCGCAACTTCTCCAGCTACCCCGAGGAGCAGGAGGTCCTCATCCCACCCTTTGAGACCTTCAAGGTCACCAATATCACCCACCAAGGGGATGACATTTACATCCACCTCCACTCCCACGGCGTGCACAGCAAATACAACTGTGCCTTGTTCCAAGGTGACGTCCTGGGCTGGGGACGCCTGCAGCTGGGCCGGGGGACAGGAGGGTTGGTGGTGGGGCAGGTGGTGGGGGTGGCAGGGCACGGCACAGCTCCGGCTGCTGTCCTGGTTTGGCACATCATGGCAAGGGGTGGGACGGTGCTGTCCTGATGCTGGGCTTGTTTTCTGGAGGCAGCACTATTTCACACCCCAAAGGGAGGGATTTCTATTGTTCATTCTACTTTGCACCAAGTAGGGAGCTCCCCCTGACCCCCTTCTTTGGCCTCTGCAGGCAGAAGCGTCCCCAGAGACCCCCCAGGCCTCACTGGGCTCCTCCTGGCAGCACTGGCAGCTGTCACTGGCACCCCCTGAGCCACAAGACCACCGTGCCTGGTGAAGACAAGGCGTCAGGGATGGAACCACTGGTGTCACCAGGATGGCAGAACTGGCTGGGAACGCAGAGAGGCCCCCGCAGGCTGGACACTGGACAAGCCCTGTGGCCACCCTCCCTGAGCCATGGCTGGAGTGTCAGGGTACAGCTTCATGGGGTGGGGGGGGAGAAGCACAGTGGGGATTTTCTTCTCATTTTGGTTTCTTTTCTCCCTTCCCATACCATTCTTCTGAATTATTAAACTGTTTGTTACTTAATTCATGAATTTCCTTTTCATTTTTCTCCACCTGATCCTGCTCTGGTAACTTTGGACACGGGCTTGGAGTGACAGGACGAGGGGAATGGCTTCCCACTGCCACAGGGCAGGGTTAGATGGGATACTGGGAAGGAATCCTTCCCTGTGAGGGTGGGGAGACCTGGCATGGGTTGTCCAGAGAAGCTGTGGCTGCCCCATCCCTGGATGTGTTCAGGGCCAGATTGGACAGGGTTTGGAGCAGCCTGGGATTGTGGAAGGTGTCCCTGCCCATGGCACAGAGTAGAATGAGATGAGCTTTAAAAATCCTCCAACCCACCACCATTCCAGAACCCCATGATAATATGGAATGAGAATAAAAAATCCATTTCAGCTTTTTTTGCCATATTTAGTCTGCTTCTTCCATCCTTTTTTTTTTTCTCTACTGTTCTTAGCTTTGTTTCCCAGTTTTCCACCTCATGTTACAAAATCCTCTCATTTCTTGATTTTTGCCACCATCTTTATGAAAGTAGAAACAGCTTCTTTTTATGTCAACATCCATCTTTCCACACAGTTCCCAAGGTTTTCAAGAAACTAAAATAATCATGAACTGTTCCAGATACAGAAATTCCATAAAGCCTGCTAAATTCAATGCAGCATGCTGCCCTGGGAGCAGCCAGGAGAAGCTGAAGGTTTGGGAAGCAGAGCCAGCTTCAGGAGCTGCAGAGCCTGGATCTGAGCCTGGATCCCCCACAGAGGGATCTGGCCAGGCTGGGTTGGTGGGATGGGATCCACGGGCAGGGGTCAGTGGTGTGAGGGTCAGTGTGACCGAGTGCTGCGTCCTGCCCTGGGGACACAACAACCCCAAGGATGGCTCCGGGCTTGGGACAGAGTCAGGAAAGCTGGGAAAGGATCTGGGGGTGCTGGTGACAGTTTCCCTGGGGATGGGATCCTCCTGCAGATCCCACTGTGGAAGCTGAGCGGGGCTGGGATCGCACTGCAGCCTGTGACTGCAGCCCTGTGACCTCAGCTCCTCATCTCCATGGACACAGCTCCAAACACACGGGCTCCAGGAGCAGCAAACCGGGAGCGGTGGGACCAGGGAAAACCCGAGAGCAGCCAAGGTCAGTGCCTCAAAATAACAAATTTTGTACAATCCCAGCTTTGTCCTTTTCCCATGGGGATACGGGAATATTCTGACCCTCACACATTCCCCACACCAACCTCCCAAAATTCCAGCATCAGTGCAGCCTGTGCTGGGATTTCATGGATTTATTCTGGTTGTCATCCATCTCCAGGAATTTTACAATTTTTTTTTCCTTAAGAATTGACATGACTTGTATTAGGAAATGGGAATTTTTAATTACAAATATTCACCAAAACTATCAGACCTGTCAGCTCTAAATCCTGAATTTCAGCATTCTACACTGGAATAAATAGTTCAGAAATTCAGCCAATCCTGAAATTAATGCTTAAAAATTGTTTTAAAACCTGAACCTCATTAAATTAATGCTGATAATTATTTTTTTTTTAAAGAGAATGTCCTGAAATTGGGATGTGAGATACTGGTTTTAGACAGGAGATACTGGTTTGGGATGCAGCTGCCTCTTCAAACACTGGAATCAGCGAGGGAGGAAAGGGGCAGACTTGCACGTCTTCCTCCAAACCACAGGAATATCCCAACATTCCATGACAGAAAAGAGAAATCTTTAAAAATGTGAATTTTTGGTTTTCTCCTGAGGCAATTCAGGATGGGAAATGCAAATCCAGGTACAGCAACTGCGCTTCCACCCCAAACAGTTTTGGGTCAAACATTTGAGCAGCTGAAAGAACCAGCTGGAAACACAAGGGCAGGACTGGGGCAAAAATGTTCACTCTGAGCTGGTTTTTCCTTCTCTTTCAGTTTTTCACATTGTGACTGGGATATGGCATCCAAAACAAAGAAAAGCAAGGATGGAGAGGCACCGGAAGAAACGAGTGACACGGGGGACCCTGTGCGGGAGAGGCAGCTGTACCTGCAGGAGGAGTGCAGGATCCTCGCACTACACCTGGACACGTACCTGGGGAGAGCGGAGCAGCTCCTGCAGGGAAGCAAACACCTGGAAAAGGAAGCCCAGGGCACTCAGGAGCAGAGCCAGTCCTACCTGTCCTGCGGAGCAAAGCTCAGCCAGGACCCCCCGGGTATGGTCATCACCCTCAACGACCAGAACTGCCAGGATCTGGCCCGAATCCAGGAGCAGAAGGAGGAGCTGATCCCACGGTATGCTGGCAAGGAGCAGGAGGTGAGGAGTGCCCTGAAGGACACGGAGGCTGAGGCCTCGCTCCTGGACACGGAGCTGGAGGAGCTGGAGCCGTACAAGGAGCAGAAGGTCCAGGCGGAGCAGAAGGTGAAGGCGCTGGAGAAGGAACTGCGGGTCACCAGGATACGCTGTGCCGAGGAAACCCACGCCGTCAGGAGCAAGTTCCTGCAGGAAAAGGCTGACTGTGAGCAGCAATTCCAGCAGAGGATGCAGGAGCTCACCTGGGGAGCGCAGGAGGTGGCGTTCAAGGCTCTGATCCAGCACGTGGAACAGGTGAAAGCAGAGAACAGGCTCCTGCGCCAGGAGCTGCTCGGCCTCCTCCAGCACTGCCAGCTCCTCCGAGACGCCAAAATCCAGCTGCAGGATCAGCAGGAGCAGCTGCTCCGGGAGAACCAGTGCGCCCAGCGGGCAGCACTGCTCACACCAGCACCGGCCCCACGGTGCCGTGGGGACAACCTGCCGTGCCCACCCGTCAGGATGGGCCACTGAGCCCACAGCACCGCTCCGGCACCTGCAGGAGCTAAACATGGAAACAAACAAATCCTTTCGGCAGTGGAAGCACACAGGCCTTTGAGCTCTGCTCACAAGGATGCATAAAATGTATTTATGGACTAGATCCATATTCTCTTTCTGTCCCAGAGCAGGTGGGGCTGCCTTGTCCCTGGAAGGGTTCGAGGCCAGGGTTGGTTGGACGGGGTTTGGAGCAGCCTGGTCTAGTCTGGACGGTGTCTCTGCCCATGGCAGTGGGGTGAGATGGGGTGGGTCCCTGCAACCCAAACCATTCCCAAATTCCATCAAATGATGGCTCTCAGTGCACGTGGCTCCTGCGAGAGGCGTGTGCCAGCAGCAGCAGCAGCAGCAGCACAGCAGCAGCAGCACAGCAGCAGCAGCACAGCAGCAGCAGCAGCAGCACAGCAGCAGCAGCACAGCAGCAGCAGCAGCAGCACAGCAGCAGCACAGCAGCAGCACAGCAGCAGCAGCAGCAGCACAGCAGCAGCAGCAGCAGCACAGCAGCAGCACCACAGCAGCAGCACAGCAGCACAGCAGCAATGCGCAGCACAGCAGCAGCAGCAGCAGCAGCAGCACAGCAGCAGCAGCACAGCAGCAGCAGCACAGCAGCAGCAGCACAGCAGCAGGAGCAGCACAGCAGCACAGCAGCAGCAGCACAGCAGCAGCAGAGCAGCAGCAGCAGCAGCAGCACAGCAGCAGCAGCAGGAGCACAGCAGCAGCACAGCAGCAGCACAGCAGCACAGCAGGAGCAGCAGCAGCAGGAGCACAGCAGGAGC